ATGTTGGGTCACAGCCTTCCTCCTCAAGCTTGCTTTGCTTGCTGGGAGGTTCAGGTGACCTCATTGAAGTAAACATCACAATGGGCAGGCCTGGAGCACAGCCAGCTGCTGCTTGGTATCGTTAACAACCTTATACCTTCTCTCAGTGTAATTTTGGGTCTTTATGACCTACAAGCTAAATATTTAGTTGCTCAGTTGCTGAGTGTTGAAGGATGACAACCCTATTCCTATAAGCAGAGCAAACCCTATTCCTATTAGTACTCTTGAAAAGCTTAGAGCTGAACCCCACCTTCCTTCTTAAAGTAGGAGACACTGAGGACAGCATGTCCTGAGTCCTTGAGGTTGGCGCATTTGGAACAGTGTCCTTTTCAGCACGGAAGATGAGAAAAGCTCACGTTGAGTGGCTTCATTCAGACTTGGACCCCTACCACCACATCCAGGGCTAACTAATCATTTCCTCCATCTTCCACAGGGAAATCAAGGCTCCAGTCCCTTCTCTGTTAAGGTTAGACAGGATGAAATATCTTGGAGTCCTGTTAATCACAGTGAGCTCCTCTGAGTCAGCAGCCCTGGGGGCGGGGCTAGGAAAGAAAAGTGCTGCCCTCTTCAATCCTGAGTGCTTTGCTTTTTGTCTAGCAAAGTGTCCAACTTCTAGTCGAATATGTTTCTTTGTTAAATTCTAACAGGATTAAACCGTTCACAAGGTTGTCCTGTGACCCCGAGAAAGTTGTACAGTTGCTACACTTGGCTGGTTTTTAGAAATATGAGCTGGTATGAGGCAAAGCAAAGGAAGATGTTCTAGGAGCTCCAGAACCTGTTTCTTCACTGATACCTGTTAGAGCATCATTTGCCAGTACAACTGGATAGCAAGGCAGTTTATATCCATGATATAATGTTAGCATATCAGCTAGGACGTTCCGTCATGGTCACGGTGATCCCATGTGATAAGCATATTAACAAGTATCCCCTGAATGGGGGACTGTAGTGCTTGGACTTAAAGTGGTTTGCCTAAACTCACACTGTAATGAGGCGCACAGAGGCCTTGATAAATGTTTTCTATGATGTCAAGCCACTAACTTACATGTATTCAGGAGGCACCACTTTAAAGAGCATCTCAGCATGGGTTTGACAGGAATGGCTTCATCTTGGACTTGAGATTAAACACGACCTCTGCAGACCCAGGAGTCAGAACCCGTAGTTATAGCGAGGAGGCTGTGCTGGGATGAGACCGACACCAGGTTAACTGCAGGTTTGGGGGATCTGCCCACCTCTAGGCAGGTCTCTGGAAATGATAGCTTGATACTGGAGCCGTTACTTGATAGTAAATGCCTTGCTTGTTCCAGAATCATCAGAATTGTGACAATTGGAGTTTAGGTTAAGAAATGAACAAGTGATGAAAATTGTAATACAAGTGTCAAAATTTGGCCTCAGTATGCTTTGCTGAGTGACAGAACGGTGGAAAAATTTCCATGGATTCAGCAGTTCGCTTTCAAACCATCCACTCAATCAGAGGACAAATCTGCCTTCACAAATCAGAGGCAAAATGTTACTCAGAGTTTTAGACCACCACAATTCTGTTTCATCCTGGGAAGGGCTGTTCGGTTAACACAAGGCTGGATCTTTCTCTTATCCCTTTCTGATGAATCAAGGATGTCTTGCAATTTCAGGGCCTGATATGACACTCAATACACCAGGCTCTGGAAATTAGATCTGTCTGGCCTGGCTCTCCTTTGGGAGATTCCAGCTCCCTTCTTTCTTATCTTAGAGTCTCAAGGAGACTAGGTCCAGGACCTCCTGGCATTGTGGGCCCTGCAGAAAGAGGTTTATTTAATCAGTCATTGAATTCCCTCAGGATTAGAGATACTGCAGGGCAGGCCGAGGCTCTGAAGGTTTAAGAACAACTAGATTGTGGCAGAAATTTGAGGAAAGGTTCAAACTCAGAAGGGACTCTCCAAACTCACTGGTGATCTTGAGGGTTGGCAGTTTTCCTGTACCTTGTTTGAGTCATATAAGGGATTTGGGACCCCTTCCTTCCTTCCTTCCTTCCTTCCTTCCTTCCTTCCTTCCTTCCTCCCTCCCTCCCTCCCTCCCTCCCTCCTTCCTTCCTGTACCAAGCAAAAGTCAGACCACTGAACCAATCAAGGCTCGTAAGCACACGTCAGTCGACTGCTGAGGATGATGCATTCTGTGAGCTAGCCTCTCATCTTGCTTTGTCTCTGTTTTTGTGTCCAGAGGCGAATGTGCCAATATCCCCGAAAGAATGTCTGAAATGATGAGAGCAAAGCAGAGGTACAATTCGCTGTAGAAAATTCATATTCAATGAGAAGGTGGGGCCTTGGGGACACTTGTAACCCTTGGGATATTATTTGAAGAATAAAAATTGATTGAAAGCTGTGTTTCATGTTCTCTGACGCACTGAGGTCTGCTGGCATCATACAATATGAAAATCTTGTCCTTGTCTTTTGATAGAAATGGCCAGTTTTATGCAATGTCTGTTGATACTTTGTGATGAATACAAGTGAATAATAAAATTGAGTTAGAAAATCAGATCCAACTAATCTATGCTGATGGAAGCTATTTCACGTAATTACTTTTATATGAGCAGCCATGTCCTTGTTTGGACACACTCTGAAGGCTTGTGCAGTGGATGATTGAAAGGGTAATTTTTGTTGCAGGAAGAAGAAAACTATAGGAATCTGACACCAGCTTGTCACCCAATGCTGGCAGAGAGGAACATCAAACGGCAAGTCCAGAGTGTTCCAGATACGTGTGTGCTGCCCTACCAAATTGCTGTGACCTGGTACGTGAGCCTCTGCATGAGAATGGGAGATCCAGCTGCCCATTTGTTCAGTAATTCCAATCTGGGAAGATTGCTACATGCCACTGTCTGACTTATAATTACAGTTTTGTATCTGTCCTTGATTTTTGTTTCTAAGTGTAAAAATGTCAGAATTTATTTTAGTGTTAAAAATGTGTTGTTTTAGCCAAACCAGATTTAATTTTTGGATGAACCTCACTCCCTCTGTTTCATCATCAGCAGGCATTATATTTAGTCCTTGACTAGCAGGAAGAGACCCAGGCCAAGTGTTCTCAGAGCTCCCAGTGTAATGAGATGGTCTCTTTCACCTTCAGACTCTGGGTGGGATATTTTATTGTGTGCTTTTATATCCTTTAATAGGGAGTATATATCTCTCCCAGGGAAACAGCTACGTCCATAAACATCAATCATTGGTATTCTTAAGGTGTCCTTTGAACATTAAATAACCATAGTGCGAACATCATAGATTAAAGAAGAAATTTCAACAAGAATTTGATTGATACCAGGTATCTGAGATCGTCTCAGAGAACCATGCCACTGATAGGAAAGAGTCAGTCCCTCCTCTAGAGTCTGTTTCAGGCATAAAATATTAAATAAGATTTCATAAAGGGCATATTACTCATCTTAAATCAATTCTCTGTGCTAACAGCTAGGGTTGAATGTAGTTTGTGGTATTTAGCGCTTACACAAGATAAGTAAAATTCTCAGACAGAGAAGATGTTAAACATGAAATATGATGGGAGAGCCTCAGCAGTTCAGAGCAACTTCTCTGGGGTCAGCTTGCCTGGGATGGGATCCCTGCCCCATTGTATGCTTCCTGCGGAATGTTAGCTAAGGTTCTTAGAATGACTTAAGGCCCAGTTTTCTCAACTGTAAAATGTGCCAAACATATATATAGTGCATACATATATAGTGCATATATATATATATATATATAGAGAGAGAGAGAGAGAGAGAGAGAGAGAATGGGAGGGGGAGGGAGGTAGTCTCACTGTGTAGCTCAGGCTGGCCTCAAACTCATGATCCTCCTGCCTCTTGAATGTTGGGATTACAGGCATGTACTGCCACGCTCAATTTACATACCTTAATAAGTATATGCCAAGCCAAGTGTGGTAGCACATGCCTGTAATCCCAGCACTTGGGATGTAGAGGCAGGAGGATCAGGTGTTCAAGGGTAGCAGCCCTGGATATATAACCAGTTTTAGGCTAGCCTGAGCTACAGAAGATTCTGTCTCTAAAACAAAAGTATATGCTTATATAAAGTAGATAGATATACATATATGCATCTATGAGAATTAAGCTAATATATAGATATAGTGCTTAGTACAGTGCTTGTAATGCTATAAATACTCAAATAAACTACTGCTATTATGGGTACTATCATATTGCTATATTATTATATTGCTCTTAACTGTTATCATATTGGACAAAAATATTTAAACAATTGCCAGTTACTACATAGGTACTTATCACTACATTTTACTCTGCTCCTTCATTTAAACAAAAATCAGAGCCAATGATGCACCGATTAGACCAGAAACTATGAGCATAGTGCTGAACTTGAGAAGGCCCCAGGGCTTTCAACTCTAGAATCGAACATCTTGGGGATTGTTAATGTCAGGTTCTTCACCCAGAGGAGAGAGGAGTGAGGCCCAGCAAGGAAGGCCATGGCTTGAATTGTGTCCAAGATGGGCGTGCCTGGCCCATTTTCCTCATCTCTTCCTGCCCTGTTCTTAAGGATTTTGCAACAGATTCCTAAATCTCTGCATGCATGTGGAAGCCAGATGTCAGTCTCAGGTGTCATTCTTCAGGCTCCATCCACCTTGGTTTTTGTTGTTATCGTTGTTTGTTTCTGAGATGGGGTATCTCACTGGCTTGGGCTTCCCTGATTTTGCTAGGCTGACTGACCAGTGAGTTTCAGGGATCCTCCTGTTTCCACCTTCCCAGCTGTGGGATTATAAGCGAATACCACCAATGCCTGGCTTTAAAAAAACAAAGCAAAACCTGGGTTCTGGGGACCAAACTCGGGTTCTCAAGCTTATAAGACAAGTACTTTACCAACTGCACTATCTCCCACAGATTCTTGAGTTGCCTTTACACACACACACACACACACACACACACACACACACACGCATGCATGTGTGCAGCAGCAGCAGCAGACTACCAGAGTTCTCCGTACCAGTTTGGAAGATGACTCGCTTGAAAACCGGGATCTGTCACTTGTGTCTGGCCCCCAAAGCTGGTCTTGTTTCTTCTCATTTTGTTCTATTTTGTATTCCTGTCGTCTCAAACAAGCCTAGAGAATAAGAAGTGACAGAAAAAAAAGCTTCTTCATCTTTAGCCAATGAATGACCAGCGTTGGCAAGTTTAGGCTTAACACCAATTTGAGAATCATGATGGAAATGACATTCCTCTCCAAGCATTCATGAAATATTGTTCTCAGGTAAAGACAAGACGGCATTCTGTCTTCTTTTTGCCCAAAATTCCTGATCAATAATAAACATAAACAATAAACACACTATGGGGCATTTTACCATGAATAGTTGCTTTCTCTCTTTTTAGAAAGATTTGTATTATTTATGTGCATGTGTCTACGTGTATATGTCTGTGTGGGTATATGTGCACATGTATGTGCAGGTGCCAACAGAGGCCAAAAGAAAGCATCGGATCTCTCAGCTGGAGTTACAGGAGTTTGTGAGCTGCCCTATGTAGGTGATGGGATCTGAACTCTGGGCCTCTGAGCCATTCTTTCAGCTCCTAGAATAGTTACTTTCTTAAGGAAGGTTGTACCCAATGTGTCATATTAACTTCTTCTTCATAGCTCTCCTCCTTATTGCCTCTTGGGTTAATCTACCCCTTGAGGTACTCTCTAGTAACAGGAGAATTGTCCCACATCACAGCTATAGCACATGCTGTTCCCTCTGCTTGGAATAACCTCCCAGTGTTCCCGTGGCTAATCCTGTGGGGTACAGTAGTCAGCCTTCACCTGCAGTTTCAATAGTTACCCATGGTCAACCTTGGTCCAAAAACATTCAGTGGAAGATTTGAAGAATAAATAATTCATAAGTTTTAAATGGCATGCCATTCTGAGTAACATGATAGAATTCCACTTCATCCCACTCTGTCCTGCCCTGGACATGAATCATCTCTCTGTCCAGCATATTAATGCTCTGCATGCTATACTCGTATCCATCACTTCAGAGCTGTTTTATTTGTCAACTCCACTGTGGCAGTGCTGAGATGCTCTTGTTAAGTAATCCATCTTTCATTTAGTGATGGCCCAAAGTGCAAGAGCAGTGATGCTGACAGTTGTACCAAAGTGCATCAAAATAATTGTTCTCGTGTATGATTAGATAGTATTATTCATTTTTCCATTGCCTAATTTACAAACTTAACTTTATCACAGATATGCATGTATCAAAAAAAATAGCCCAGAGGGGTTGGAGATTTAGCTCAGTGGTAGAGTGCTTGCCTAGCAAGCGCAAAACCCAGGGTTCAGTCCTTGGCTCCGAAGGAAAAAAAAACAAAAAACAAAAAACAAAAAACAACAAAATAACAAAAAAGAAAACAAACTAAAAAAAAAAAAAACCCAGAACATATGAATTTTGGTTCTGTTCTAGTTTGATTTCTGCTGCTGTGACAAATACCCTGAGAAAAAGCGGCACAGGAGAGGAAATGGTTTATTCTTCTTACAATTACAGGTTATAAGCCCATCATTGAGAGGCGAAGGCCAGAACTCAGGCAGCTAGTCACATCACATCCACAGTCAAGAGAAAAGCGAGTAAATGCCATGCATTCTTGCCTGCTTGCTGGCTGCTTCTGCTCAGCCAGCTTTCTTCAGTTCAGAGTTCAGCCCATGAAACGGTGCTGTCCACACGCAGGGTGGGTCTTCCCACCTTAATTAACAATCAAGACAATCCCTCACAGATATGCCAACAGGCCAGTGTGATCAAGATAATTCCTAAATTGAGACTCTTCAGATGATTCTAGGTTGTGGCAAGTTGACATGATCAACCATCACGGGGCGGGGGGTGTCTTGAAACGTATCCCCATAGTAACACAACACCAACACACATAGCTTGAATTATATATATTTTCCTATTTTAGTCAGTTTTGCTTTATACTGTTTTTATCCTGCTGACCAATAAGAATTCTAAGAACCATCTGTTACTTTTTTAATTCCCTAGCCTCTTGAATCACATTTTCCCTTTTATCAATTTTTAAGTTAGTATACAAGGTAATGGATTTCATCATGACACATTTCCATTTACAACAGAAAGGAAGCCATCCTCTGGAGAGTGTATGGCCCTGTTCTTGCCTTTTCTTGGACTGGACTTCTGGTGGCTCTGTTTCTGTACTTTCAAAGCAGACCTCTAACTTTGAGAGGATTCCTGTTTGATTTACACAGAAAGACTGCTCAGCTGTCTCAGGCTGGCACATGTGTTTTCTCACGTGTATTACTGTACTCTGCTCAGGCCCCCTGTTACCATTTTTTGCCATCTCTGTTCTCTTCCTCTCCCCAGTCTCCTTTCTGCTTTCATGCCATATGTGTGTGTGTGGTGTGTGTGTATATATATATATATTTCAAAATTTTTAGGTATTTTAGTAAAATATAAATTAAAAAACATTTTTGAGAATATCATACATGAATATGTTGTATTTACATCATTTCATTTCAACCTCTCCCTCTCCCCATTCCAGCTCTTCTTGTGTCCCCTCCAACCCCTCTTGATTCATGACTTCTTCTATAATTATCTTTGTTTCATATATACATATATAAACCTACTGAGTCCAACTAATATTTCCCATATGTACTGCGTTTAGGGCTGACCACATAGAAGTGGATAACCTATCAGGGAGTGGTCCTCAGAAAAAATGAATTCTTCCTCTTTCATCCATCATTGATTGGTTATAAGGGTAGAGCCTTGGGAAGTTTTCCCCCATCCATGTTGGCATGCCAACCGGTGAGGTCATTGTATAGGTCTTGCATGCATGTATTATTTATTAATCTAGATTATGCATATGAGAGAAAACATGTAATATTTGAGTCTGGCTTTGAATTATATTTTTGCTTTGGAAAATATCAATCCTTAAATGCAAAGTAATAAAAATAAAATAACCAACCAAAAAAAGATCACCAGATTTCTTAGCAAAATTAGATTAAAATCTAGTGCCAAATATTTTTCTTCTAGTGCTGAGACTGAAGAAACCCAAGGATTCCATGTGCTACAGGGATTTCAACTAGTATTTTAAATGCCTCCAAATAGTAAAAACTTCTTGGAGCACTTCCATTCTTCTAGATCCAGTGGCCTCACTTGCCCATAACCTGCCAGGGTCAAGTTATTCACTGTCATCTGGTGTAAAGACCAACAGTGTTGTTACTAAAGTAGACTGGCCATCTCTCCACTTCCTGGCTGGGTTGAGAAAGGAAAGATTTCTTTGGCATTTTTTCCCCATTTCTGTTAGAAAAAGCATTTCCTTCTTGGATGCAATAGGACTTCACAGAGTTTCACAGTGGGGAGAGCCTGTGAAGTTATGCTGCAAGATTAAGAATAGAAAGGAACTGACCGTAGTGAAACAGGTGCCACCTGGAATCACCTGGGAAGAGTCAGTCACGCTGCGCCTGACGCCCCCGCCCCCCAGCTCAGCAGATGGCCCCCTGCAGCAGGTGGAGCCCTGAATTTCAAGAGAGAGAGATGAGATTTCCTCCAGTCAGACTTGGAAAGAGAGAACATTCCAAAATGATTGATTTTGTTTTTAATGCTGTCCCACAGTCCGTCTTATTTTCAAAAACTATGTCACTAAGTCATTGAAATAAACACTGTGAAGTACTGCCAGCACATCTGTATGTTTTTATAACATAAGCAAGAAACCTCATAGAAGAGGCTGGAGAGATGACTCAGTGGTCACGCACACCTGCTGGCACTTGCACACACACATGCACACACACACAAACATACAGATAAGAGAAAAAGAGAGGGAGAGAGAGAGGGAGAGAGAGAGAGAGAGAGAGAGAGAGAGAGAGAGAGAGAGAGAGAGAGAACCAGAGTACTAGGTAGCACCTACCAAAAAAAAAAAAAGTTCAACAAATAAGCCAGGCAAAACTCAAAGGAAATTAGCTGAAGAGCTTTATGAAACTCAAATAAATAAAAGCTCCTTTCAAAACATTTTAAGTGATTTATTCATCTATCTATCTATCTATCTATCTATCTATCTATCTATCTATCTATCTATCTATTTTATCTATTTATTTATTTATGGGAGTGTGTGCCAAGGCACACTTGTGAAGGTCAAAGGACAACTTGCAGGAGTCAGTTCTTTCCTTCCACTATGTTGATCCCACGGAATCAAATTTAGGCTGTCAGCTTTCATGGCCTGGGCATGGAGTTCTGTTTCCTAAGGTGGCAGGTGTATGTGGCACCTTCACCTATGGGTATTTGAGCTGATCTCTGCTGGGCTGAAAGTTGGGGAGCCAGAGAGAGCAAAGGCAGGACCATGGCAAATTTTGAGAATTCTTGTGGGTTAAGTGTTTTTTTGAAAATTCTCTTCAAGAATGCATATGACTTAAATATTTCTTTATCAAAAAGGAAATTGATTTTGCAATATTGAAAAAGAAGATTCCCTTTGATTCCTTTTCACTCCTAGATTAGTGGGAAGGAGTCCAAACTGGTGGCTAGGTAGGTACTTGGTGATTTTCAGCCTGAGACAGCTGAGCAGTCTTTCTGTGTAAATCAAACAGGAATCCTCTCAGAGTTAGAGGTCTGCTTTGAAAGTACAGAAACAGAGCCACCAGAAATCCATTCCCAGAAAAGGCAAGAACGGGGCCAAACACTCTCCAGTGAATAGTTTCCTTTCTACTGTAAATATGAATTATGCTTTTTTGGGGGGGTCATTGATGATGTTTTTTGGTTATTGATGATGTCTTGCTCTGGAGATCCTGAAGTGACCACCGGGCAGAAGGTGGAATCCCTGGGTAGGGAGAAGAAATCCATTTGCAATTCACAAGGAAGGGTCTCTCCTTCTCCTTTTTCTCAAACAGTCCTCTTCCATTCTCTGTCTCAGCATTAGATGGCTGTGTTTCTGCTTGAAGTTGAAGGCTTCAGGTGACTTCTTTTTCCTTCCCTCCAGAGAGAGCCAAGGCTTTCTTCTCTTCCCCTGTAGGTTGGTGGTATTCCAGCTCCCCTACCACTCTGCCCTCTGATGACAGCACATGCAGCCAGGCAAGCTTCTGTGTAGAAGCTTCCACTGTGGGGGCAAATCGAAGAATCTGCCTGTGGGGGATGGTGTGGGTTTTGT